CCTATTCTTGGCAACGTATGTCGTATAGTAGCCGTCGGAGTAAGAGCCATCGTCGAAGGTGACTTCCTGACTAAGAGCCTTTAGGTACCAAAGGTGTTCCCCAAGGAAGCCTTCGTTATGAGATTGGAATTCCTTGTGAGGAACTGCCGAAAGGTGTTTTGTTGGAGTTTGTACTCATTGATTGCTCGTTGAGTCTACTCCCCTCCACTCCATTTTTTTTTCTTTTTTTTTTTGGTAGTGAAGGGAAGGCTTCAAGAAACTTGGTTTCTTGGTAAGCCTTGGCCTATCGGGAGGCAACAATATACACCATTAGCTCCCCCCTCGGGTTAACCTTCCGAGTTCCGAGGGGATCGAGGGTCGTTTCATGGGCACGAGACGTAATCTGTTGCCTGCCTCCCCTTAGGGGATGGCACGGAAAGCGCCTCAGTTTTGAAAGTCGTTCCCTCAGCACGAGACGTAGTCTTTGGTCTGCCATACCCTTGGGGTAATGGCGCGGGAAGCGTTTCGTTTTTGAAAGTCGAATCTTGGGCATATTAGTTGCCTGCCATACCCTTGGGGTAGTGGTGCGGAAAGCGTTTCTTTTTTGAAAGTCGAATCCTGGGCATATTAGTTGTCTGCCATACCCTTGGGGTAATGGCGCGGAAAGCGTTTCAGGGAAGGGTTTCATTTTCACACTGGCTGCAAATGGCCGGGGGCACTTGGTGCCGCCAGGACCGATAGGTGACGCCTTCGGTATAAATGCATCCTCGAGGGGTACGGCTTCAAAAATAACACTTGGTGTTTATTTTTGCATACGCCCCCGGTACTTGGTACCGAGGGGTCTTCGTTAAAAACACTCGGTGTTATCTTCATCGCTGTAGGTTATTGGGGTGTCTACCCTCGGCACTTGGTACCGAAAGGTCTTGATTGAAATAGGGCCTTGGGCCGGGTGCTTGTATGAGGGCTTGGCCGCTCACAAGTGTTCTGATTTTGTGCTTGGTGTCTTCAACATGCCTTCATTCTTCAAAAATTGGAGGCCTTGGGCCGATGGATAATACATTCTTTAGTAATGAGGGCTTGCCCGCTCTAATATTACAGATAAAATTTAACTAGGTGATGTACATTCCGATGTCTAGGGACCTCTGTCCCATTGGGGCGTTTGAGTTTGTAAGTCCCAGGCTTGACAATGGCTGCTACGATGTAGGGCCCCTCAAACTTAGGTGCCATCTTGCCTCCCTCAGTTGGTTGGCTGGCTTCCCTCCGTCGGAGGACATAATCCCCTACTTGGAATTCTCGAGAGCGGACCTTGGCGTCGATGTAGCTTTTGACTTGCCTCCGGTAGTTTTCCGCTCGTATGAAGGCTTGCTCTCAGCGTTCTGAAATGAGGTGAAGGTCGAGGGCCATGTTGGCGTCGTTGACCTCGGGTTCGTATTGGTCCACCCTTCGGGTAGGAAGGGTCACCTCCGTGGGAGCTTTAGCCTCGAACTCGTAGCAAAGGGAGAAGGGTGTTTCACCTGTTGCCCGCCGAGGGGTGGTGCGGTAGGCCCACAAGATGTTGTGCAGTTCTTCTACCCAGCCTCCCCCTTCGGCTTCCAGGTTTTTCTTTAGACCCTCGAGCAAAGTCCGGTTGGCGTTTTCCACTTGGCCATTGCCTTGAGGGTAGGCAACGGATGAGAAGGTATGCTTGATGCCCCATGCCTCCAGAAGGGCACAAAAGGGGGCTACCTCAAACTGAGTTCCATTGACGGAGATGATCTGTTGGGGGACGCCAAACCTCGTGAGGATGCTCTTGAGGACGAAATGGCGGCACCTGGCCTCGGTAATACTGGCAAGGGGCTCAGCTTCCACCCATTTGGTGAAGTAGTCAATGGCGATGATGATGTACCTGTTATTGGAGGTACCCCTCGGCAGAGGGCCCACAAGGTCTATGCCCCATCTAGTGAAGGGTATGGATGTGCTGATGGGGGCATAGTTGACCGCTGGCCTGCCGAGAGCCTTTTGGAAGTGTTGACAGGCGATACACCTTCGGGCGAAATCCGCGCAGTCGCGGGCCATGGTGGGCCAGAAAAGCCATTTGAGGGGGTTAGGGTTGGTTTGGGGGTGAGGGGGAGGGTTGGGGGTTAACTAGGAAAAGCCAAAAAAAAAAAAAATAGAACCGAGGCCCGGCCCGGCCCGGACCCGGGGGTTGCCTGGACCCGGGGGTTACCCGGGCCGGTTCCGGGCCTCCCCTTCTTGAACCGAGGCCCGGCCGAGCCCGAACCGGAACCGGTCCATGCCTACCAGAAAGGAACAAATTAGTATAATCCATCAAACAATCCCACATTGAATTTGTGTACTTGACATCGGGGCCCACTTTATAGTGCCCAAAAATATACTCCCTCAGTCCCAAATTGTAAGATACATTTACTATTCACTTGATCTACATAAATCACTTTTAATCATCTACTTTATATATCAAAAGTTTATGAAATTTGAATTATTTTTTGCAGGTTTTGTAGCGGTTTTAATGTATTTTTTGAATATGTAAATTTTATTTTCTAAAACTAATTTGAGTGTTGACAGGGATCAATTTGCTTTATCCTCGATCAAACATTGTAAACAGAAAATTATCATACAAATTGGGACGGAGGGAGTAGTATTTAGCACTCCGTAGTAGTTACAGGTTGACTTTTTTTAATATTATGTATTATTCGAGAATCTAAAATGTGCATAACTTTAAAATTGTCTAATTTATACTACGTATATTTTAAACGTTATAAAACTTATATTTCACTTAAACTATCTAGTTTATTTGTATTTCATTGTTAAAATTTGTATTTTTTCTTACTCTAGAGAGCCTCAATTCGCTATTTGGAACCGGGGCCTCCAAATGTGCCGAACCATTGTTCAAAGACAGGAAGAAGTCCCCTCATATGGCGGACCCTGCGCTCAAAGGTCAGTGTGCAGTCAGAGAGTCATACCAGGCTCTCACAATCGCTGCAAATTGCAATGTGTGTGCAAGAACAAGCAAACATGCGCCCCCTCATTGCTGACATTGTCACCTTCCATAATTACCTATCCGCCCAACAGTACAACGCATTCAACCCACCTGAAGAGGCTTGTCTTCTGATAAGCCCAATCCAGATATGCCGGAGTAGGGGTGGACCCAGGCCGGACCTCGGCCCAGCCGGGCTTTTTTTGGGAAAGGGAGAACCGGAACCGATCCAGGTAGGCGGCGGTTCCAAGCCGGGCCAGTTCCGGTTCAATTTTTTTTATTTCTTATTTATTTCACCCCCACCCTCCCCATCCCTCCTCCCCACCCCCCCAAACCCCTCGGAAATACCCAGCCCAGCCCAACTAAACCCAGCCCAAACCCAAAAAAACCAAAAAAAAATAAAAAAGGCCCGGACCAGGCCCGAACCAGCCTGTTCTCATAAATCAGGGCCCGTGCCCGAACCGCCCTACCCGATCAGGCCGGTTCAAAGCCCAAACCGCCCTTCCGTCACACGGGCCAGTCTGGGCCTGCACAATAGCGGGCCGGGCCGAACCGGTTTGGGCCACCCCTATGCCGGAGAAGGATGCTGGTAATACTTGTGACATAGATGAGGAGAGGATGGAAGATAAAAGGGGGTACGGTACACACATTGATGAGGGTAGGGGGTGATTTGATATATGAAACGTTATTGTTGGCGGCGTATGCCATACAGAGTATCAGTATTATTTATTGTGTAGTATTATGTATCTTCAACGCAATAATGGGATATATACTACAAAGTACATATTACTACCTTCATTCCCTTAAAATTGGGACAAAAGGTAGTGATGCAATAATTAAAAAAACGAAATTGTATATTTAGTATAAAATTGATATAGTTTAAATAAATGAATTATAATCACCTACATATTATCAAATATGGTATTAGGCAAACTTAGTAAGACAAATGACAAATGTAAAATGAAACAAAGATAGGGGGCCGGAGAGAATATATTACTTGGATTTGATTAATTGGTGATTCCACAATAGCCTATGTGACTCCATAAGAGAGTCACATATGGTTCCTTAAAAATTTTGTATTAGGAAGCCATGTTGGCATGCTCACATCCTTTAGGACTATACGTTTTATAGCATCGGATGATCCCGGACTTCGCTAGACTAAAGTGTCTCCCAAAATCAACCCTGAAACTTGAATAAATTGTTGCTTATCTGAACAATCCTTCAATATTCCAACATCGTCTGTACACCTCCGCACATAAGAAGTTGCTCTGAACTGATTTAGCATATCCAAAGTTCCAATCATTATCTCAAAAGAACCTTTAGATTTACACGAAGAAGCAAACTTCCACATTGCTCTCGATGCGAGACCAAGAATTGATTCAAGGATCACTCGAGCTAGCCCTAAGGGATGGAGGATCATTACTTCGTAAAACCCACCAAAATTCACAACGGATGTGACTTCAAGTACCTCTTAATAAGGGAATTGCACTGTATTCTAATCTTCTTTCTATTTAAATGGCTGTTGCATAAATAAATGATAAAGATTGTCCTCAAAAGTTCAAAGGAGTTGGAAGTATTTGTGTCCAGACACCGCTGGCCTAAGCAGCAGATACAATTTGCTATTTCCAATGAGCCAACACAATCTAACATTGTCAATTATTAGCTATGAATAGACAATCCATGGCAAAACCGGGAACTTGCAATCATCATAACTTGCTATCCATGTTCTTAGACCTACCAAATTTACCCTTCCACTCATTTGTTTCACTAAGATGTTGGCCTTGTCTACTTTTTAATCATTGGCCCTCTCTGATCTAGCATTTACCCATTCCGGACCCCGCCTAGACCCAAACCAATCTACTTGTCAGATTGTCCGTCCGATGCTCGTCCTGAGTCTAGCACTTTCTAGAACACAAAACAGCCAAAAGGCTGTAATTTTTTATCCTACTTAAAACAATTAATATGACAACCAACAAAAAGCAGGTAAACACAAAGAAAAGTAGAAAGTAAACAAACATGCGTGGAGGGCGATAGAGAAGTTAGTTTCCGTCGAGTCATGCTTCATAAAAAATGATTTTCATTTTCCAAACAATTTGAATCAGTGAGGAGGAAATCATGTTTAATGCTCAAGCCCAAATTTATTCCCTGTAGCATTGGATCATCCAGGGTCAAAGTCTTTCGATTACATATTTAATGCTGTCAAAATTGACCCCTCGGACAGAAATGGTGAAAGACCACATGTGAAGTTTACCTTAAACATGATGGATAAATTTTCCTGCTATTAGAACGATGAAGAAAAGCTAAACTGCAACCCAGTCTTCCCTCTATCATGCTCTCCTTGTTTCAGTATGTAGCAGTAATTAACCTGAAGTTGGAACAAAAATAATAATCAGAAGTCCATAGTTGAAACAAAAATAATAATCAGAAGTCCAGGAAACTGCTATATTAGAATAGCTTAACTCACAGGAAATAGGGACAGGTATCCTGGCAAATTCAAATAGGCAAAACCCTCCGTTCACTTTTAGTTAGGTTTTGCACACATGCAAAAAATATTATGATATGACTAGAATTCCTCCATTAATGTTTACAGTATTGCATACTAACAACGAGCATTAATGATCTGTTGATACTAATATTTTGAAGAGAGTTATTTGAGAAATAAAGATAATAATAAAGCAATATGAATAGATATTAGAGAAAAGATGGAGTAATATATTGTAGTGATGAGATGAAGCAAACGTCTAAGGGTGTTTGGATGAGCTGAGGTTAGACGCCTTACCCTATATCTTGATAAATAGAATAATTCTAAAAATGAAATAAAGATGTCAAAATGTCACATGATCGCATATTATGTTTGACTTTCAATTTTTTATTAAATCTCAAATATATACTACGTATCAAGATATAGATTAAGCCACCACAGCCTTACCCTCCAAAACCCTGCATACAAAAAGGCCTGAAAATTATATTCTTAAAGATTTTCTTGTCTTTCCATGACAAAAATATGCTCTAAAAATGAACAACTGGATGGTTGCAAACCTCCATCCTGAACAGTTTAGTTGGAACAATGACTCCGAACCCCGTTGAAGCTTTAAACGAGTCACGGAACTTCTGGAAAGAGAGGTCTCGGAATGCATGTTCACTTAATTTGTTAAGGCTTCCGGTGCATGCAAAAGCATGTCCATGTATTCCAGCTTCCCTAAGGACTTTCAATGGAAGATCAAAAGAAACATCTGCAAAGGCAGTAACTGCAAGATCTCCTCCAATGAAGTCCAGATCAGAAGAATCAGAAACTTCATGATCACTACCACTTTCTTTAACTAGCCTTCTTGGATCAAAAGGGCCAACTCCCCTTAACTTAAAACCGAAGATTGAAGTTGGGCCACCCATAGAGCAGACTGGAGAAGTGTTACCACCCATAAAAAATCTGTCAGGTAGATATGAGGGCATGTTCATGAATCCAGTCCCCCATGGAAACATTGCGCCAGCTGAAATCCCAATGTTCAGTGCGGCATTGTAAAATCCCAAAGGTAAAGCATAACGAAAATCAAACTCCTGTATACAATAAATCCAGTTTCTCACATTTATGAATTGCCTGTAAAATAAGCTATTCGCTCTGAAGCATAAAAAATGAAAAACTAGAAAGGTGGAAGTTGTTGAGAGGGCATTCTTGTCATAAAAAGGGGTGAACATTGATTTTAATTTATTTTGGATTGGGGAAACTGGTAAGGGACCTTTTTAATAGAGAAATCTTCTATAGCTAGAAGAGAAAAATGTAAGCAATTTAATACTCCCTCCATCCCACTATCTTCATTCCATTTTTCCATTTATGTCCGTCCCATTGAGTTTTTCCCATTCCTTATTTGGTAATATTTATTGAATCTAATTCATTAATACTTTATTGACAGATCACAAAATCACAATTCAGTACTAATCACAAACCTTCACTTTTCTTAATAACCATACCACTCCCCCAAGTGTCCCAATCATAGGGTGATTCATAAACAGGTCTAAAAATATGAAATCATAAGATTGATTGCAACACATATGTAACCAATAAGAATAGAAAACCTGTTGTTAGCTAAATGAGGCTGACAACATTATGTTTAAGCTGTGTTAGGTTAAGGTGAAATGAGAGAGAAAGAAATATGAGAGAGATGGCAATTTTTTGTTCTTAGGTGATAAGAGAAAATGGGGAAGAGAGGAATGAAAATGTTGTGCCCCACCTCCTTTTTTATTTGTACCTATTCATCTTCATTTCTCTCATATCAAATGACACACAAAAGTACAAAACCACCCCAATTTTTCTACTGTTTGTTCTTCTCTATCTCTTTCTCACAAATTTCTCTCATCTCAAATTCACCTCTAAGCTAATTAAAAGCTAAAACAGAAAACAAAAACTAACTGAAAATGGACTGAGAAAAAGTGGAAAACAGACTAAACCTGACGTAGAAACCGTATGCTCCGAGAATCTGGTACAAGGCCAGCGATCTGTGAGGTAGAAGCAAATGCAAGCCCTTGGGTTGGTCTTAAAGGTGAATTCCTCCTGTCAACTTTAAATGTATACTTGAGAACTGAGAGCAAACCATGTCCGAGCTGCCTCCTTACAGTCTTAGAGGCCATTTGTGACGGATCAGTCAAAGTTCGCCAAGAGACATTGTATGCTAAGTCATGGTTTTTGGATGACAATAGACCAAGGGAAAGGCCTAACGATCTTTCCTTGTATGAAGAAAACTTCAACCAATCTTGAGATAATAAAGACAGTCTGGCTGTAACAGGAGTAGTTAACCTTTTGAACCTAGGTAAATACACACCAGCACTTACTTCCGAAGATTGGTCCCAACCATAGGCCAAAGAACCATCCCACAAATCACCATAACCAAATAAGTTTTTCAATTTTAATGAGCTTTCAAGCGACCAGCTTCTAGACTACAAAAAAAGTTTTAAAAAGTATCAAATCACATTACTAGAAAGCTTTAGTAAGATGTCTGATAGTAAAGATAAAAAATGCATCAACATGAAGGAAATAAACAAAAACACAACAGCATGCATAAATGCAGTCTGCAGATATAGTGAATAGAAGTTTTAAACAAAGAAATCAAGTATTTGAAATTATCTACGGTATTTTAGATACATAATACAGGTAGTATTTGACCCATGAAGCAACGGGGAAAATATCTAGGTTGAGCACAGAGTAGTTTTGTGTATATCTTATGAAAAAACATCAAAGACCTACATAATATTGACAAAAGAGTAGATTTGATCTGTCAAATAAATAATTAGAATGAGATGAAGCGCATATGATTTTTTTATACGACACAAACTCCTCCTTCGAAAAGGATAAGAGTCTTCATATATTCCACCTATATTAGTATTGCTCAGATTGCAGTATATCTCTCTAGGTTTCTATGTTCTGGTGAGTCAACCAATCCTAGATGAATTGAATAGCCAAATTAATCAATTGGACCTAAGGAAAATGGTCAGCTTTCAAAACCAACTACAACCTTAAGTTCCTTAAACCTTCTATGCATTTTTTATTTATATAACAAGAAGTTTGAAGATAACTTTCAAGATCCCAATATTCACACTACATAGAGCCAAAAACTAAAACTTGTCTACGGTATCATTTCAAGGTAATGTAAGTAAATTGAGTATCAATTCACAAAGAACGAAAGCCAATCTTAATAGCATATTACCCCTGGTTTCGAGAACATCCCTATGCTTCCGGCAATAGGGTTTTTGGCTTCAATGACTTCAATAATCACATTGGCCGTCTGGGGAAGCTCAGGAGGTCCGGAATCAAGAGTGATATTGACGGAATCGAAAATGTCGAGTTGTTGCAGTCTTGCATTGGCAGAACTGGATGCCTGGAGCAGCTCCTGGAGCGTAGTTGCAGACTTGATCAATTCCACCTCGGCCTCAATTAAGGAATCCTTAGTCTTAGTGTTCCCTCTGATCAACACGTCGTGGACTCGCACCGGGACTCCCTCCGACGACAGTCGCCGGAAGAAGCTCTCTATCCTCGCCTTATCGGTCCGCACTGGGGACTCTTCTCTGACTGGCTCTACGTCTTCTCCATCATCTTCTTCTTCTTCTATTTCTTCGTAATCATCCTCGTCACCTTCGGTGTTGCCGCTGGTTGAGCGCTCCTTTCCCATTTCGTCCGCCATAGGAGTATCGTTTAGGTGCTTGCCAGGGCAGTTGCAAACAATTTGTATGGAGAAAATTATAATATGGGCTCAGCCTTGGTCTAATCAAAATTAATACTCGTTGGCAAGTTCATTATTTCGGTTGTAATGTAGTGTATTAGCTTTATTAAAAAGGGTGAAACTAAATAAAAGTTGGTAAATTACGTCGTACACCGGGTTGAACCGTGCACACGGTACAACAGGGTTTTTTTAATCTTTCTGTGCTTCTCGCCATTGCACAAGCTTCGCACCAGACTTTCACACAGGACTTTGTAGGCGTTTTCGCACCAGATTTCGCACAGGACTTCGCATCTCGCTTATTCAATCTCGCTAGGCTTCTTCGATCTAATTTCGCACCAGCAGCTCGTCTCCAAAGTTCACCACTCACCCCCCTTCTCCACCCTACTTACCTACTCACCTCTTCTCCCTCTCTATTTCTTTCTGGCATAGTTGTCGGTGTAGTTTTACTGTTTGAGCATGTAATTTTAGGAGACAAGCAGTGGCGGACCCACTAAGGGTCCCAAGGGGTCCCGGGACCCCGTGGACCTCGGGAAAAAACCCTATATATTATATATTTATATATTATTTAAAATTACTTATTCAATGTATATATAAACACAAAACAACTTTAAAACAATAAGGATGGTGTAGCCGAACGGGAACACGTCTGGAAGCAAAGTATCTATGCTACCCGGAGGTATCACGTTCGAATCCCATCGGAGTATTTTTTTTGGGCCTTTTTTTGTCTTTAAGGAAAGCCACGGCCCAACTTAAGCCCAAAACAAAAGACCCAACCCGGTAGCCCCTTTTCCTTTCACGCACCCAGCGGCCAGCTCCCAGCCCGCGGCAGCCCCCTTCAGCCCTTCTCCTATTACGCTTTCAGTCTTTCACGCAGCCCCCAAGTCGGCAAGTCCCAACCGGAAACCGCCAACCGCGATTCTGCGATTTGAGAAGCGGCCGAACTGCCGAAGCCCGAAGCTCCCTGCGGCCTGCCCCTCTTTTCCTTCCACGACGAGTGACCGGCCAGTCAGCCACGACAAGTTGACAAGCAGCCAGCGGCCCAGCAGCCTGCGGGACAACCGGACAAGCGGGCCAAGCGGCCAAGGCGCCAGGGTACTTTCTCTTCTTTTCTCCGTTAATGGAGTTTCTCAAATCTCAAGGTTTTTGTTGGATTTTCTTTATGCTCAAAAATTAGGGATTTCAAATTTCAATTTCTATGTTTAAATTGCTTTTAATTGCTTTTTTTGCATATCTTTTTTTAATGTTAGATTAAATTAATAAATTCATGTATTTATAAATGTTATTTTCAATTTTATACGATTTAGGATGAAAAGATATTTTGATGTTGTACCCAAATTTAAAGAAACTCAAAGTACCGAGAGTAGTTCAGGTGTTAATTCAAATGATCCGCCATTAGTAAATGAAGAATTGGATCAAGTAATTGCTGAAAGTGAAGCTAATTTGGCTTATAATCTACCTGAACAACATGAGGATTTTGAATCTTTGGAAGCTGATCCTGGATTGAGAAAAAGAATTGCTGATTTTCACCCTAATGTTCAAGACGAGGTACGTCGTAGTTACATTCAAAAAAGACCGTTTCAACCTCGGGACCATGATTTCCCTTTTAAGTTAATTGGAGGCAAAAAACGTAGATTTGTTTCAAGTTGGGTTGATGAGCATAAATGGTTGGAATACAGTATTGCTAAAGATGCTGCATTTTGTTTGCCATGTTATTTGTTTAAGAATGAGTGGGAAGTTAGGGGTGATCATTTTGTGGGAATTGGGTTTTCAACATGGAATAAAAAAGATAGATTCTATTTACATGTTGGTAAACCTAACAGTCCTCATTACAATGCGGTGAAACGATTGGAAGATTTGATGAACCAAAAACAAAGTATTGGAGCATGTTTTGTGAAACAATCTGAACAAGCAAAGTCTGATTACCTTATTCGCTTGAAGGCATCACTTGAGTGCACTAGATTTCTTCTTTGTGGGGGTTTGCCATTTCGGGGTCATGACGAATCAATAGAGTCTAGTTATAAAGGTCATTTTCTTGAGACTTTAGATCTTTTGAGACAACGTGATTCTGAGATAGATAGAGTCCTAAAAAATGCTCCACAAAACAATCAGATGACTTCACCCAAAATTCAAAAGGACTTGTGTTCTGCTTGTGCATTTCTAACTGTTCATGAAATTATTAAGCAAATGAGAGATGATGTTTTTGTTATATTAGTTGATGAATCAGGGGATGTTTCTGGTAAAGAACAAATGGCTATTGTTGTGCGTTTTGTTGCTAGTAATGGTTCTGTTTTGGAGAGATTTATTGGTCTTGTTCATGTAAAAGACACAGTTGCATCATCTCTTAAAGAATCTCTTGAGAACATTCTAACACAATATGGTCTGTGCATCTCAAACATAAGAGGACAAGGCTATGACGGAGCGAGTAATATGCGGGGTAAGTTTGGTGGATTGAAAACTCTAATTCAAAATGAAAATCCCTATGCATATTATTTCCATTGTTTAGCTCATCAATTGCAATTGTCACTTGTTGCCGCTGTTAAAGGACACCATGAGGTTAATTGGTTACTTCTTCATGTTAGTCGCGTAATTAATGAGATCTGCTCATCAAATAAGCGACAAGAATGCCTTCGAGATAAACAAGCAAGTGATTTGATAACTGCTTTAGAAGCTGGACTAGTAAAAACAGGAAGAGGATTGAATCAACAGTTAGCACTTGTCAGAGCAGGTGATACACGATGGAGTTCTCATTACAAATCATTGCTTAATTTGCAAAAATTATTTAAATCTGTGATTGAGGTGCTCGAAGATTTGGAAGACCATGATAAAAGTGGTGAAGCCACTTCATTGTTGAATGAATTGCAAACTTTTGAATTTTGTTTCATGCTTCATTTGATGATCAATGTTTTGGCCATTACACATGATCTTTCACAGGCATTGCAAAGGCGTGAACAAGATCTTGTGAATGCTTTGAAACTAGTCACAGTTGTCAAACAACGTTTAGCGGCAATGAAAACAGATATTGGATGAGGTGCTTTGTTTGATGAGGTTGTTACTTTTTGTAAAAAAATTCATATAGATGTGCCTTCAATGGATCAGAACTACATCAAAGGAAAAAGATCGAAGCGCAGGGCACCGAGTATAACGAACATGCATCATTACAAGTATGATTGTTTACATGAGATTGTTAATTTGTTTGTGGCTGAGCTTGATAGCACGATTGGTGTGGCAAGCACTAAGTTATTGTGTTGTGTGTCTTGTTTATGTCCTTCCTCCTCGTTTGAAGCTTTTGATAGGGCATCTTTGCTTAAATTGGCAGAATTTTATCCAAAAGAGTTTTCTGACGTTGATCAAAAGATACTCGAGAATCAGCTTGAGAATTATATTTTAGATGTCCATTCTGATAATAGATTTTCTGATTTGAATGGTTTATTAGACCTTTCAATTGAAATGGTTTCCACGAAGAAGCATCTCACATATCAGCATGTGTATACACTTATTAAGTTATCTCTACTTCTCCCAGTAGCTACAGCAAGTGTTGAACGGGCGTTTTCAAGTATGAAGTTTGTGAAGAATGAGTTGCACAACAAGATCTGCGATCAATGGTTGAATGATTGCTTAGTTACATATGTTGAGAGAGATGCTTTTGGTACTATTAGTGATGATTCTATTATAGAATATTTCCAACAAATGAAGCCTAGGAGAGTACATCTATAGAATTGTTGAATGACTTTTATATGTAAGTTTTTGCTTTATAATATATCTTAATGTTTTGATGGTGTACGTTAACTTTGAAGTGTTATGCTTCTTTAATATTTTTTTATTAGTTTTACATTAATTAGAGATCAAAGATATGTAAGGGTAGGGACCTCGTGGCTCCGACTTCCTGGGTCCGCCACTGGAGACAAGGGAAGTCTACTTCGTTGCTAAGGAATCTTTGCTACCGTTAATCTCAAATGAGTTTTACATTAAACTCAAATGATTATACGCCTAAAAGGAATGAGCATATACAAATGAATGTTGTACACATTAGAAATGGTTTTATGTTAAGATCAAATGAGTACATCGTTCAAAATAAATGAGCATACCCAAATTGAATTTTTTGATACTCATTTTCTAAGTTATAAATACTCATTTGATACCACTTTATGCTCATTTTGAAATGTTGCACATTTCAAACGTATCCTACTTCATTGGACTCACATATTGAAAAATAATAAAGCAAAAGTGAATTGGAAAATAGGGAGCAGAGAACACTGATGCTCATTGGTGGGCTCTTAATACTAAAAAAAAACCTAATGCTCACCAAATTTGCATCAATGCTCATTTTAGGGAATCCGTGCTTTTCATCAAAATTACAAAACTACCACCGGTTGTACGGTACAGCCGGTTGTATAGTATACGCTTCCAAAGAAATCGTGTTGGTAATAAAATTGTTAGGAGGTATGCACGAAAAAGAATGGAAAGTAAATGCAAGTGTATTACCTTATTTGAAAGAGTAAAAAAAGTGAAGGGTAAAGAAGTGAAGGGTTGGTTAATAACAGATGTGTTTTCATGTAAATTGACAATAATGTTTTTAATCTTTTTAAATTATATATGTCCCAGTGCACTTAGCCATCTTTGACTTTTCCAGTCAAAGGTGGTAAACTCTGACCAAATATTTAAATTAATATATTTAAGCAAAATTTAATAATTTTATACTTTTATGATAGTATTTTTAACAATAAAAACATTTTCATATCATTTTCATATTATTAATACTTTCTCTATATAAACATATAATCGATCAAAGTTAAACGTCATTGACTTGAAAAGTCAAGTTTGGCTAACTAAAATGGGACGGATGGAGTAATACTCAAAATAGGTCAAATTTGATGTTGTATCACTTGGAGCACCAAGTATAATATGTAGAGAGAGCACCAAGTATCATATCAGGAGTTTCTAACTGAAATCGTCTTGTGAAATCCGTCGGGTGTGGTTTTGATGAAATTTTTTTATGAAATTGTGTGAAATGTTCTTCTTGAAATTTAGATTATGTTCACAAAATTTCATCTTAATTAAAAC